GAGCATTATTGAAGTTGTTCAAAATCAAATCACTATTTAACCCTTCATCGTACACTACAAAAGTGTCATCCATGTAACGACAATACATTTCCATTTTCGCTATTTCCTCTTTCAACGGACTATTTTCTAGTTTTGCTAGAAATATATTCGCGAAAATAGGTCCCAGTGGGGATCCCATGGCTACTCCATCAACCTGTCTGTATATTTCATTATTAAATAGGAACTGAACATTCGTTGTGCATTTAACAAGTAGTTGTTTCAGATTACTGATAGGAATATCAGTGCACAATTTCTTTTCTATAATCTGTTCACAGATATAATCGATTGTTTCCACTAGAGGCACATTCGTGAATAGAGATGAAACATCAAGTGATGCCATATATTTGCCAGTCGCGTTCAAGTTTTTTATCTTATCAACAAATTGAAAGGTATCCTTGACGCTGTGCTTTACTAACTCGTCATGCAAGGGTTGAAGCAGCTGTACCAGCCACTTTGCCGTCTCGTGATAGGGTGAATGGGACATGTCTAGTATGGGGCGTAGGGGCACTCCTGATTTATGCACTTTCGGTAAACCATACATACGTGAGATGGTACTCCCTGTAGGTTTTATGTTTTCGAAAGTTTTTGGTGATAAATAGCCTTTACCCTTCAAATCCTTTAATAAGTTTGTTATTTCTCTCTCTATTTTCTCCGTATGATCTTTCATCGCTTTCGGCTTCTGAAACTTGCTTCTGTCAGCTAGTATGGAGTTCATCTTATTGATGTAGTCCTACCTATCCATAATTACTATCCCCGGCCCCTTATCCGGTCTGGTAATAACTATGTTTTCATTTTGTCTTAGTCTTTTGACAGCTTCTCGATGCTGTTTTGTGAGTATACTATGGGGCTTATTCTTATCCTTCTGTCTATACTGATAGCAACAGTCTACCAGGGTTGATTTGAATCTTTCTAGGTCCTCATCAGAAGAGGCGACCAAGTCCCCTGTTTGTATATAGAATTTCTCGAATTGTACATCAGTGTCAATCTGACTAATCTCCGTACGGATATCACAAAACTTAGTCCCTAGGGATAACGCTTCAAGTTGTAGTTTGTCAAGAATCACACTAGAAAAGTTATGGACGTACCTTTCTGGATTAGCTGGGAATCTACATTCCGGAGTTCGGCCTTTCATCAGTTGTGTTCGTTTTTTTGAGGAATTAGATACGGCGACTTCGTCGACATATTGCATACATTGTAGTTTCATATCCTCTGGAAGGTCAAGAAGTGCATAATTCCTTTGTGATATATTTAATTCCAATTGTGTAATGTCAGACGAACACAACTGATGAAAGGCCGAACTCCGGAATGTAGATTCCCAGCTAATCCAGAAAGGTACGTCCATAACTTTTCTAGTGTGATTCTTGACAAACTACAACTTGAAGCGTTATCCCTAGGGACTAAGTTTTGTGATATCCGTACGGAGATTAGTCAGATTGACACTGATGTACAATTCGAGAAATTCTATATACAAACAGGGGACTTGGTCGCCTCTTCTGATGAGGACCTAGAAAGATTCAAATCAACCCTGGTAGACTGTTGCTATCAGTATAGACAGAAGGATAAGAATAAGCCCCATAGTATACTCACAAAACAGCATCGAGAAGCTGTTAAAAGACTAAGACAAAATGAAAACATAGTTATTACCAGACCGGATAAGGGGCCGGGGATAGTAATTATGGATAGGTAGGACTACATCAATAAGATGAACTCCATACTAGCTGACAGAAGCAAGTTTCAGAAGCCGAAAGCGATGAAAGATCATACGGAGAAAATAGAGAGAGAAATAACAAACTTATTAAAGGATTTGAAGGGTAAAGGGTATTTATCACCAAAAACTTTCGAAAACATAAAACCTACAGGGAGCACCATCTCACGCATGTATGGTCTACCGAAAGTGCATAAATCAGGAGTGCCCCTACGCCCCATACTAGACATGTCCCATTCACCCTATCACGAGACGGTAAAGTGGCTGGTACAGCTACTTCAACCCTTGCATGACGAGTTAGTAAAGCACAGCGTCAAGGATACCTTTCAATTTGTTGATAAGATCAAAAACCTGAACGCGACTGGCAAATATATGGCATCACTTGATGTTTCATCTCTATTCACGAATGTGCCTCTAGTGGAAACCATCGATTATATCTGTGAACAGATTATAGAAAAGAAATTGTGCACTGATATTCCTATCAGTAATCTGAAACAACTACTTGTTAAATGCACAACGAATGTTCAGTTCCTATTTAATAATGAAATATACAGACAGGTTGATGGAGTAGCCATGGGATCCCCACTGGGACCTATTTTCGCGAATATATTTCTAGCAAAACTAGAAAATAGTCCGTTGAAAGAGGAAATAGCGAAAATGGAAATGTATTGTCGTTACATGGATGACACTTTTGTAGTGTACGATGAAGGGTTAAATAGTGATTTGATTTTGAACAACTTCAATAATGCTCACCCAGCGGTCCATTTCACCTACGAAGGAGAATACAACGACTCTTTACACTTCCTCGACGTCCTACTAACGAGAAGAGAGGATGGTTCCATCAAAAGAACCATATTTAGAAAGCTAGAGACCAAAGCTCAGTATACACATTTCCTTAGCTTCGTACCGATGAAATACAAACGTAATCTAATCAGGTGCTTAGCATTTAGAGCGAGGTCTATTTGTTCCGAAGAGTGCGTAGAGAAAGAACTCCAGATCATCCGAGACATTCTAAGCGAGAACGGATATCCAGAGAAGTTCATTAAAGCCAACATAGGTTATAATAGTCGTAAACATGAACTGGCAACTGTGGAGAAAAAGCCTTTGTTTTTACGTCTCCAATTCAAGGGAGATACTCCTGCGGAGATTCTATCCCAACGTTTAACCAGAGCGATCAAGAAAACTTTCTACTCTGCACGTCTGTGTCTATCCTTCACTAGCCGTCCAATGTTCACCCAGCAACTCAAAGATGTCTTACCTAACCTTAGCTCTTCTTCATGCATATACCATTTCAACTGTTCCTGTGGTTCAAGTTATATAGGGCGCACGATTAGGCAGGTTCGTCTACGGGTTCGAGAACACTTACCAGCTTGGTTCAGCAGGGGGGAAATTAAGTGCATAAAAAGCTCGATCCTGTCACAATTGGTCGATACTGGACATCGCATCGATGTCAACACAGCTTTCAGGGTTATATACCGAATTCCGAAGTCGTTATCACGTACAGTTCGCTTACGTCTCCTACACATAGCTGAAGCTGTTGCAATAAGATCGACTAAACCGGAACTTTGTATCAAAAAAGAACACGTCCAGACGCTGTTCCTACCGTGGTCAAACTTGGATTGAAGATTTTTCTTCTCACCAAGAGTGCTCCTTCCCCATATCCCTCTTGGTTTTTTGCTTATTATTATAAATATTATTATGACAGTTATCATTATTATTCGTCATAATTTATGCCCCTTATGCAAACATTCCCTCAATACTATCGAATTTTCATTTATACGGACTTATTATTAGTGATATTATCTGTTTTCTCAGCATATGCCTGCACCTGTTTCATTTAACATATTCGTTATCTCACTATGAACCTCTCATTCCAGTCTTACTATCTCCCGTTTAACTCAGACCACTTTGTACTAGCCACTCACTCACCTGACACCTTTTATAACCTTGAACTGATTTGTCAATTTTCCTACCCCACACTCTACAATTCTATTATGATTAATCACCACCATTGTCTCCAGTTTTACAATATTTTATAATCGATTTCAGCCTAGCCCGTATGTCACACAAATATGATTATTTATTTTGACACCCTATAACTAAGCTGCTATTCTACGTGAGAAATGTATCCGCCGCATAACTAAGTGGCTATCATTATTGTAACGACCACAAATTTTATATTTTATAATTGTGAGAACTTGAAATGAGAAATTATTGAAAAGAATATTCTTCGTTCAGATTGACTTTTAATTTATTGAAGTGTCTACGTATACACATGCATACATATAGTATCTTTGTTATTCTTATCAGCTGCATAAGCCTTATCAATATTTTGTTATCATTATAATCACGGTTATTAATTTCGTTCAGAACATTTGCCGCATTGTTATTTTATCCACAAAATCACCATCACTGGTTAAAAATTTTTATATATAAGTCTGTGTAAATTACAGTAAAGCCTGAAGAAGATCTAATTGAAAACAAGAATATCATTCGCTTATATGTGTCTTGTTCTAGTTTTTATTTGGTTGGTGGTGGATAGCCTTGAAATATAGAAAACGTGCATTTCGTCGTACTTGGGACTTGTCATCTGGATGCATCCACATTGAGACTAGAAATCAGGCACCCGATGTTTCAAATGCTCAAACACTAACATCGCCAAGCAGAGTTGAGCCACCCGTTGTGGAACAGATCAATAGGCTTTAGTTAACCTTTAAATCATCCATGGTAGAATCTGACATTTCAGCATAGACTGAGAATTTCAGCCTAGCGTAATCAATCAACAAGAATATTCAAAGAGTTTGTTTGCGGGCATTTTATTGGTTACGGGATTTCATCATGAATTGATATCTGTTAAAGAACCAGCTAGGAGTGCTGGTTTGGGACTCTTCAGCAGTAAGGTACAGCAGGTCGAGTGTGTGGGGACAAATACATGCCAGCCATGACATTGGTTAGTGACAGAGACGCGCTGGCCATCAGATCGAGCCTCTGTGACTTAAATGCCCTACGAGCTCGCTAGCCTAGTAACCGGAAAGTTCTGGCTATGAACATTGGCGGTGAGGGTGAGCACCGCTGAAGAGTCTCAGGTTAGGCTGAAGAAACAGTTGTCCAGTATATACACTCGCTGGTCTTCTAATGCTTCTCTAACCGATGTCAGCTCATGAGGTAATCCTGTAATTAACGAATTTGAATAAATTTACGCACACACACACAAAAGAAGAATGGAGGACAATCTTTATTAAATATTCTAACTTACTTTCAAAAACTCCTGATACAACAACATGTAAAGCATTACGCAAGTGAACTTTCTTAGCATACTTTAATGAAGTTTGCTTGGTATATGTATAAAATTGCCAAATTAACATTGATAAATTCTCCATATATGATGATGATGGTAGGATATAACCAGTGGGTGCAAGTGGACTGATAACAAATTGCATACCATTTGGTTGTGTTGATGTAAAAGACAACGGTGTACCCCCGCCGTTAGGCAGAGACTGTCTATTGGGAATCATTTGTAAACCACGATTCGTTGAAAAGAGTACTGGTATGGGTAAGGCACCACTGCCTGAAGTGTTTGTTTGATGGTTCTCATTCACTTGATTTTCATTAGATCCTGTGGGAATATTATTCTGTAACGCATAATATAACAAGTTGAAGGATGAGATTAGTTGTTAGGCGTCATTTACACGTAATTGATCAGAGTGGACTATTGGACAGCCAGCTGTTTCGTCAGCCTAGTTCGAGACGCCCACTGCCAGTGTTCGAGCCCAGAGAACCTTCCAGTTACAAGGCTAGCAGGCTCGTGAGACATTCAGCCACTGGGAGCCAACTGAATGACCAGGCTGTGAATTCTACCTTATACCACTTCGTGACTTTTTTAGCACGACCACCAACAAATATTATCAGCGACTCCTAAATCTCATAAAACCGACGAAGGAGGTAGGCTGGGCTTGAGGGTAACAACTCTCCCCTCCCACGAAACTTAAAAGCTCCAGCTTGGAGACCTATGTTCCACTCGGAATGTACTGGAGTTATATATACCTAATTAGGGGTATATAAACAGTTCTACAATTTGCGTCTACCTGTCTGTTTTCGACATAGAACTTTGCACCAATGTGCACCAGTTCGAGTCGCCACACTCCCTCCATGTAGCACACAAGGCAACAGAAGAAAGTAGAAGAAATGCATAATAGAAAGACAGTAAACAGAGGTGTGAGACAAAGGAATGGTAATAACGAAGAACAATATAGTTTCATTTCAAATCATAAGTCACAAGGAGTGGATGCATCTGCCCTGGCCATTGAGAACGACTTTGAGCCATGTCACTAATTGTCTCCAGCCATTGGTTTTCACCGTCCCGAGGACCCCAACCAGCCAGTCAGGAAGTCTACACCTTCCTACATGGCTTAAACTAACTGTTGTAGATTTCATTAACTAGTGAGGCCATGTTTCGGTTTGACCACCGCTAGCTTTTTTCCAGCCTGACCCAATGTCAGCTAACATTTCCTGGTGTTGAGGAAGGCGATGACTAGGCGTGCGTAACATATGTCCTAGCCACCTCAGTCGATGTAATTTCACAGCCTCGTCGATTGATTTCCCCTCCTTACCTAGCACTCGACCAGGGCCTAACTTCAATATTTCTCACCTTATTATACCACTTCACACGGGAGATAGAGCGCAGGCACCTATGATCAAAGACAGCTAATCTTTTCATGTCTTCTACTCTCAATGGCCAGTTCTCACTCACAGCCATAAAGGAGGACGGAGCGGAATGCTGAGCAGTACACTCGCCCTTTGGTCGATAGCTAGCCGAATATCACGTCTACGCCAGAGACGGCGTAAACTGGCATATGAGAAACGAGCCTTCTCTATCCGTGCTGACATTTCGTCAGTGATCGAACGGCTGGCGTTGACTGATGCAGCTTCCCAAATAGGTGAAGTGGTCAACACGCTTCCCCAACAACTTCACTTCCTATTTCTAAACTAGGAGTCAGTGTAGTCATGTCCTGTAACATCATCTTACATTTGACAAAGGGAGCGAATTGCATACTAAACTTTCGTAGATTGCAGCTCAATGTGTTCAGAAGACACAGTATTTCGTCAGCGTCTTCACCTAGAAGGACTATATCATCTACATATTTTAATTCAACGAGATTATGCCCTGGTAACAGACAAGTCAATCCCTGAGTGGCTGAAGTGAGTTAGGGTTAATTCCATCAGTACATCTATGAATAAAAAAACAATGGTGTAGTGTATTTGTGCAACGCATTTCGAACACGCATATGTACTTACTATAGGAATACATATGAAAATAATAAAGCGTTAAGGGGTGAGAGAATAGACATAGGTCAAGTTAAGAAGTTATGGAATGACGACCAAAACAACCGTGGAGATCAATATGGCAATGAAGGGAGAAAATATTACATCTGTCCTTGCACCAAAACAAAGTTTACCAGGGAAGGGGTTTAGTGTAATAGTGACAAATTGTTTTTAAACACATTAAGGTAGCTTAAACTTCCCACAAACTTTACGAAACATTTTATAGATAGGCTTTCAACAGAAGCGCAAACATCAATTTTGGTCCATGTAGATATAATGTGCTGCAATAAAAGAAATGGGTTATCTGTTTTCACAGGGGATTCGATTTACTTTTGAAACTATTTAGGGATATGTTTTGAAGCATTTGAGTACAGAGACAGATAAGTCCTCCTTAGGCATACTTGACTAACTCTTAAAGCCTTATCACTTTTCATAAAAATCCATATAGCAAATATGTCTGTCATCAGATTTTTCGAAATATGTTACACGATCTAGATAATTTTGCGGTGAGAGCTGGCTGGAAGCCAAAGTTCAAGTCAGTGTTCACGTCCCAAATCCCACTGTTACTACGATGCACCTTTAACGTATACTTTAGTTCCAACAAGAAAATATACAGGTAAGTAGATGGAGTAGCAATGGGTTCTTCCTTAGGACCCCTCCTAGCCGACTGCTTTATGTCTAGCTTAGAAAACAACCCCTTATCACCAACTATCGACGACTTCCAACTCTACAAGAGATACATCGATGATACTTTCATTATTTGTGATGAGAATTGTGATTTAAAAAACCTACTTCAAATCTTCAATAACGCCCACCCAAACATCGACTTTACACTTGAGACTGAATCCGACGAAATGTTCCACTTCCTCGACGTCCATCTGACAAGAAACGTCAACAACTCTCTGAAAAGGTCCATATACAAAAAGCCTACATGGAATGGACAATTTATCAACTTTCAAAGTTTCGTGCCCCTAAGCAGAAAAAGGAACCTGATATACACTCTTTCCTCGAGAATTCGGAAGATATGCAGCGAGGAAATGATTGAAGAACTACGTAATCTCAGAAAAACCCTGATGGAAAACCGTTTCTCGCCCAGGTTCATAGACAAGAATCTCAAATGTAAGAAGACTTCCGAACAAGTCCAATCCGTTCCAAAGAAAATACTTCTGCTTAATCTAGAATTCAAAGGTGATATTGAAGCAGAAATCCTTCGTAAACGCCTCTCCAAATCACTGAGGAAAACATACTTCGCCGCGAGCCTACGACTGACGTTTTCCTGTAAGAAACTGTTCAGCCAGAACGCGAAAGACAAGCTGTCGCATTGGGCCACCTCAACATGCATATACCAGTTTACTAGCTCTTGTGGAGCTGAGTACATCGGCCGTACAATGCGCCGACTTGAAAAAACGCGCTTGTGAACACTATCCAGCCTGGCTAGTAAAAGGAGACCAAAAACGTGTATATAGTTCAGTGACAAAACAAAGCCTCAGGATGGTCGGGGGTGGGTGCCTTGCGCTGCGGGTTGGCCACCCCTCCGTACACCTCTTGAAATGCTCCTATATGACCGGGCGTCTTACATAGCCTCTCCTGAGGAAGTCCTACTCACTGCCTTCACGTGGCGGAGGTGTTTTCACCGAAGTGAGAGGGCAAAAGCGGATGCCCGTCGCTCTTCATCGGGTTGACTGTCCATTGGATGACAGTCTAGGGGAGATGGCTGAACCCTGATTCCAAACCTCCGACGACTGGCGTATGTAGCTCACCGGCAGACGTATGGACAAAGGGCTTATTGGATGTCTGGCCCCATCGAAAAAGGCGTATGAACCGGACTCCGGTCACCGGCTGCCAATGGATAATAGTGGACTCCCTACTCCACTCCTACTGCCTTGTAGGTCACACTTGGTTGTGTAAAGGCTAGAGCTGCACTCTCAAAGAAAAGGCCGAGCGATTCTGGGGACATCACTCGTACCTAATTCCCATGAAACTTCATGAACTCATGTTCATGAAGCCGGCTCATCCTCCCGTAGGAGATAGCCGAAGTAAAGTAAGTAAAGACAGAACATCTGGTCAATTCAGGACATTCAGTGCCTTTCAAAAAATCCTTCAAAGTAGTATACAAGATTCAATCAAAGCTATCGAAGGAAGTGAAATTAAGACATCTGGGCATAGCCGAGGCTCTAGCTATGCAAAAGCTCAAACCCACGATTTGTATCCAAAAGAAATACGTCCAACCCCTGTCCCTGCCATGGCCATCATAAACAGGTAATTTTTTTAGTAATGACCATCCCATTGGCTTTCTTATCTAAACTTCCTGTTTATTCGTGTTATTTTTTAAAGGTTTTTCTTAATTTCTGTTTACGCTACCATATTTTCATACCCGAACTTAGTGTTTATTTTGTCATTTTACTATTTCCACACATTTAATCCCTGATTGCATAAACAATTATTCATCACATTAGTTTTTTATCCAAACATCCTGTCTGTTTTGTTATTTCTACATTTCTAACCCCTAATTGAACAATGTCAATCTTCTCAGTTATTATGATGATACTTTGTTTGAGTTCTACCCGTCCCCCTGTTTATTATGGCATTATAATTCCCAATTTTAATTTTTATTAATTTGACCCTTAACCGGAAATCATTATTCTGGAACTTTCCCATCCATTCGATATAAATACACGAATGTACAGCCTAGATATTGACTTCGTCGAAAAGAAAATTTTCTTTGCTGCAATTGTCAAGATTCATCAAGGGAACGATGTGTCGCAGGAATATTTATTTTTGAAGTAAAATAATGGAGCAAATGGTTCGCACCTATGTTCTCCTAAGTATGATTGACAGTCGTTTACAAGGAGATATTACATATTTAATGTAGGGAGATACAGACTGCATGGATGGGCTCTTAGGAATACTATGAGCCAGTGACTAGGAACTGTTTATGAAATGGCTCAAAATAGCTCTCGATGGCGTATATACATTTGTGACCCCTGTGGTATCTCAGATCTATTAAGTCCTCATTATTTTCCATGTAATTTTTCCTTCTCTCATATATTTTATTTTATTATAGTACCTTCACATACATCGGCGGTTCAGTGGGAAGACGCTTGCCAACCATGCATGCAGTTCGGGGTTCGATTCACTGCCGATGCACTCCTAAACCTCGTTAAACAGGTAATAAGGTCGGCAATGAGGACCGATTGAGCCTAAGTCTAGTAACACCACCACCATAAAAACAAAACGATTGCTACTCAAACTTTAAAGTTTTACCTTGAAGTCCTATGCTCCAGTTGGGAAGTAAAGGAGACAACAATAGTACCTTCCCAATCGTTTTCCTCTATCTTAGAGTGTGTTTTTATGAAATATGGTAACTTGAAACGCTGTAGTTTTGTGCTGAGTTTTACGTTGAATAGTAACCAACTATTCATAATGTGTAAATAAGGACGCTTAGGCACCATTGTGCACAGAATTTACACGAGAGTCATAACACCTTCCACCTACTTTTCCAACATATCACACCACGAAAATGTGCTGCTAAGTTAGGTGATATACTACGGTGAGTAATATTCAGGTTAGGCGCACAATGAGCTTTTGAAACTACAATGATTAAGATGACCGGGTCGCGTGTTGTACATACCAATCTACTGCCTTCTTCGACTAACAATATAAGCTAATGTACGATTGAGTTGGAAAAGAGTTAAGGGTGGTAAAATCAATATTTAGTATCTATCTATGAAGTCATTGACTGTTGGTTCGAACCCAGGTGAGAGCTTACGGCGAGTTGTTATCTGGAGTGGTGACAACTAATGGTGTCCCACAGGGACCCATTTCTATTCAATTTTGTCATAGATGTACTGATGGAATTAACCCTAACTCACTTCAGCCACTCAGGGATTGACTTGTCTGTTACCAGGGCATAATCTCGTTGAATTAAAATATGTAGATGATATAGTCCTTCTAGGTGAAGACGCTGACGAAATACTGTGTCTTCTGAACACATTGAGCTGCAATCTACGAAAGTTTAGTATGCAATTCGCTCCCTTTGTCAAATGTAAGATGATGTTACAGGACATGACTACACTGACTCCTAGTTTAGAAATAGGAAGTGAAGTTGTTGGGGAAGCGTGTTGACCACTTCACCTATTTGGGAAGCTGCATCAGTCAACGCCAGCCGTTCGATCACTGACGAAATGTCAGCACGGATAGAGAAGGCTCGTTTCTCATATGCCAGTTTACGCCGTCTCTGGCGTAGACGTGATATTCGGCTAGCTATCGACCAAAGGGCGAGTGTACTGCTCAGCATTCCGCTCCGTCCTCCTTTATGGCTGTGAGTGAGAACTGGCCATTGAGAGTAGAAGACATGAAAAGATTAGCTGTCTTTGATCATAGGTGCCTGCGCTCTATCTCCCGTGTGAAGTGGTATAATAAGGTGAGAAATATTGAAGTTAGGCCCTGGTCGAGTGCTAGGTAAGGAGGGGAAATCAATCGACGAGGCTGTGAAATTACATCGACTGAGGTGGCTAGGACATATGTTACGCACGCCTAGTCATCGCCTTCCTCAACACCAGGAAATGTTAGCTGACATTGGGTCAGGCTGGAAAAAAGCTAGCGGTGGTCAAACCGAAACATGGCCTCACTAGTTAATGAAATCTACAACAGTTAGTTTAAGCCATGTAGGAAGGTGTAGACTTCCTGACTGGCTGGTTGGGGTCCTCGGGACGGTGAAAACCAATGGCTGGAGACAATTAGTGACATGGCTCAAAGTCGTTCTCAATGGCCAGGGCAGATGCATCCACTCCTTGTGACTTATGATTTGAAATGAAACTATATTGTTCTTCGTTATTACCATTCCTTTGTCTCACACCTCTGTTTACTGTCTTTCTATTATGCATTTCTTCTACTTTCTTCTGTTGCTTTGTGTGCTACATGGAGGGAGTGTGGCGACTCGAATTGGTGCACATTGGTGCAAAGTTCTATGTCGAAAACAGACAGATAGACAGAAATCATAATTTAATTCTAAATGATATACACTAAACGATTACTATCATGTACCTGTATATTCTTTATCCTAGATTCTTCAATAAATAAACTTAATAGCCTAAAGACAAAAAAATAAAATAATATATCGTGAATAAATACTACTTCAGTGGAGAATCAGTTGAAAGGCAGTACTAATTATTTGTTAAAGCAAAAACAAAATAACGCACCGATTCAACAAATGTTTGATAAGGCGATAAAGCATCTTGTCTAGCTTGATCCTTTGTTTGTCCACTAAATGAAGTGGATGATGTTGACATTAAATTTAAAACAGAACAAAGTGAATTAGAACCATCAGGACTGTCCAGAGTCGGTAAAGACATACCAGAAAATGAGGTAGAACCCTGATTGATATAGCTTGTTACAAGGGTGCTTGGTTCCTGTGAATAAGAATGACTGGATAGAACTTGATCAGTTGAATAGACATCTGAGTTTGGGCTGTTTTTAACACATGCAGTAGTCGTATTATCATCATCACCAGCCTCAGGAAGTTTCTTATCTCTAAAGTTATTACAACCAACAAAGAGAAAGAGAAACAATAAATGACACTACTACTTACAGAAAAACATAAAATACAATCCAGTGTGACATGCCCGACCGAAAGCTGCTACCCTGACGTGGCGGTCGGGCTTGAACACCGCAATGACCTATTCAAGCTACATTGGCTGAGACTTACGTCTCTTGAGGTCCTACCATGCCAGAAAGGTTGTTTGGATAGCGGTTAAACAAAAAGCAGCTACCCAATCCAGCACTATGATACATAAAAACTCACAAAATATCATGCCGGATCGGCCGTGGCCCGGATTAACAACGACCGCGCTTCCTGCTGCCGTGTCACAGGGCAGGAGTGATAAATGCTACTGAGACACACCAAACAATAAAGAAGGAACAAAACAGGCCGCGTGTGACCGGCCTCAAACAGTTGTCGCCTGGGCTCTGCGGTCACGCAACCAACTTCCACGGTGTAGGCAGCCGGGAAGTAACATTCGCCCTCACAATCCGAAATGTACACGAGACAGTGTGATATGCAAATAGCACATATAAATTTGCTTGGTTAGTTAAACACTTTTGTAGGAAGTCTTAGGGTGATCTACCAGTAAAAGAACGACACAGAAGTCTGTATGCATAAATCATTTTTTATTTTAAACCTATTAACTCTGACATCTTTAGATGTCAAAGTAGTCACCCAATATCCGCAACAGTATGACAGTTGAACACACTACAGATTACATTTTGTCATGATGGAACTGAAAGACGAAAACTTTCCGGTGATTATCAGCACCACCGCTGGATCTATGTGATTTCAATGATTAGGTAGTGTTATATGAATTGATAGGAATCTACTTATACATGCAATATGACATTTAAAAATACAATATACACTTTAAATGGGTGATACTAAAGGGTTGAATATTAAAAACTGAAAGAAGTTTAATTAACGCTATTTATTGACAAATCACTGATGAAAACATTCGGTAAATGTAAAGAATTCTTCGTCGAAAATTCCCACTGAGAAAAGAATTCCATATCTTCCAGGAAAAATATTTGCAAGGACTTTATTAAAATGCCTAAAATTGATAAAGGTCCTCCTGATTGAAATTTAGAGAATGAGTGGTATAAAAGTAGGAGTAGCCATGCAAAAACAGATCTCAAAGTTTGTTTGGAAACTGTACTTATATTAACAGATGTACTTCTGAATTTAAAATCTTATCTTTCTGTCTGTTGTCCAACCGAAACGAACAAACATTGTAATAGCAGAACCCGACGGTACCATTTAGCAGTCCATGTTACAGGACTCATCAAAACATTTTGTACAAAGAAAGGTAGTATCTCCGAATATGCTAAAATGCCACAGTGAAAGGAGTCTGTTAGTAGCAACCATACGAAATACTTGAAGATAGCAAGCTAGGTTTCAAGTCAACTTAGATGGTGAATGAAATATTCTCTCCAAAATACTAATTAATTTGTAATTAAAACTATCTATCTTAGGTGCAGTGACCGCAACAAAAAGTATATATTTAACTACCCTGATGCAATTTCTCCATCACAAGATATGACTTTCTTCTCACACTCCGCAGCCTGTTCCATGCCACCATTAAGACACTGGTTATCCAATTTAGTGGTTATTGCTTCTTTATCAGACGGAAGGGATCTTCTCTTTGGTGACGACTCAATTGAATCACCACATGAGCAGTTAGAAGACGATCGAGATATCTGTGATTCGGATGGTAATCCATCTGGCAGAGAGACAGGGATGTGTTTAGTACTTGAGTGGTTGTTAACATGGGATAATACTGCTTTATTATGAGCATAGCGATGAGAACTTGAAGGTCTTCGTACCAAAGAAAATGGATACTGACGAATATATTGAGGCTGGCAAAAACTGGATGCACAATCAGAATTACCCGATTGTATATACGGTGGCGGTGGTCCAAGCAGCGCATGTGGTAATGTTTGCACATAACCAAAAGGCTTGTTTGAATCTGTAATACTGTTGCTAGTTTTTCCATATGCTAATAAAGGCATAACATTTTGTTGAGGACTGGTAAAAGTCATGGACTGAGATTTCGATGGCAAATACGTGTTAAGCATTAAGTGGCTGTGAGCAGCTTGTACTTCTGATAAACCAACATCTCCAAGCTGTTGTCCAGATCCTAAACTGAAAGTAACACTGCCACCAGGACCGTTGGAGTACCAGAATGCGGGGTTTAAACACTTTTGCTGATATCTATATTCCATAGAAGTACAGTCTTCGGACAAACCCTGCCATGAATGACAAGGTTATTTTGTAGGCTTTTTCAAAATCAGGTGTCTTACATAACAAATACTATGATCAGAAAAACATTAACATCCTCGTTCACTTTTGTCAGCGATGATGACCATGCAAACTCTTGAACGACCTTGGAATCCAAGCAGTTGGACGGCTTCAAATGTATCCAATATCCAATATCTTAGTATGGAGCTTGTTTAAAGCTGCTGATTACCTCAAGATCACTTTTCCAAGTTGAAGATCTTAAATGGACTTCAGGATAGAATAAATTTATGTCAGCCAGCCACTTTACTGTAACAGTCTTCTAGGTCATGTAGGTCTTAGGTCACGACAGGCCGTTTGTATTAACTAGGGATAAATCTTTGTGGTGGATTACACTCTCTGTGCAGTGTGTAGGTGATTAAGCTTGGTAAAAATCCCTTACTTGCAAGACAGAAAGAGCGATCGGCTATCAATCCCCGTCTTGGAGACCGAAATTATGGCGCATGCTCAATGTTATTGGGGGAGTTTGACAGCTGAAGGTCACTTTCTCTATGTTAGCCAGCCATGTTGGATTGCCGTTCCTTAACTGTTCGTTTACTCATTGGCTTTTACGTTTATTCTACAGTTGTTCACAACTTGATGCACATTGGGTGACTCTAAACTATAGCAGCTCAAACCGAAACTACTTAGCGAACAGATATAACACTCATTGACAAAAAACCTACCAAGCGAAATTTCGGCTAACATGCTGGATAAGTCCAGCCGTTTTGAAGACTCGTCGGCAACTGATTGCGTGTGACGTAGAGTCAATACTGCCTTGATTCCAGAATAATATATAGAGTGGAATTTTTCAGTTGCTTAGGTGTATGATGGCAGCAAGTTAGCAGCACAGGACGAATAACTTCTGTCGCCATGTCTAACTTCATGAAAGATGTCATTTCTATTCAGACGTTCCATAATGTAGTCGTTTACCAGGCTTGTTATCACTTTCAGTATTGACAGCGATAACGCTACGGGTGTGTACAACCTAGATTTCTGCTAGTAACACCCTATTGGAACATGAAATACGGCAACACTTTTCCCCACCCTTGACAATTCCTATCTGCTGAACATGCACTGGGTAATTGGGGTGGATATGGTCTTGTGACATAAGAATTTATAGTTATATATCGCAGTCCTGAGTGTATTATTCTGGTTAGACTATCTCAGCGTCTTTAGAATCACACGAATTTATTTGAATTGGAGCAATCCGTTAGATGTCAGATTGCATAGTGGGTTGCAGTGGCAGTTCTATGTAACTTGTTTCATTTCCACTCACTTGTCTGACAAATACGTAGCTGAAAGCCCAGACTGTTTCTAAATCGCTCAAACGTTTACCACCATGATTTCCACTAACACATGCCCCATGGTTAGTGCAGTTCCTCTGGGCTATTTAGCAGAACAGACTCCTGGGATTTGTTTTTAACCACTGTCTAGGTTCATCTAGAGTGTCATCTCCCCAACCGAAGAGCTGTGGGGCACCTTTCGGCTTTTCGAGCTAGTGTTATCATGGGAACCCGAGTCGTCGGCGTTATCATTTGTTCGTTGCTCCATAGTCGGAACAGAGGAACATCTTTATTCAACCCGATCCCCTATAATTGCACACAAATAGCCCCAGGACAACCAACAGACTTTCATTTCCCCTCTGCGTCACCCTATGATACCAAAACCATCACTTCACATTCCGATCTCACTAGCGGATCTACGGAGTGATTTTCTGGGAGGACAGTTAGCTGAGCTGCATTAACGACTAAGAGCTCGCTTTTATTTGTCTTCATCATGAAATGTCAGTCGTGATTTTTGTGCAACCACCTATACTGCCGGACATGTTCTCTTATCACACTACCTGCTGACTCTTTGGTCTAGGGCATCTAACGTGGTGGCTCGATTGCTCGCATCATCAGCCCCAACTAGTGGATGGGGGGTACAGTGCTCGAGGCATTTCGAGGGTGTATATATCAATGATTCTTGTCCCTTGAACATTTTACTACCTGTAACGCAATTCAACCAGCACAGATAGACAAATCAACTGAAGTCCATACGTCTGGATTTCAGTTGAGATGACGAATTTCTTTGATCTACCACAAGGTCACTTCTTTGTCTCCTGAGCGTATATCAAATAATAATAATAATGTATATTCTCATATAAACATATAAATTTACATGAAAATGCATGCCATTTTTACAGGCACGATCAAGTATGATATAATATCAAATCGTAGATTGTCTACAAGTTAATAATGTTTCAACAGTTAAATATTTGATATATATATAAATACACATTGTCTGAACTAGGCTGTATAGTTATTGAATTGTACAATTGTCCTCCAGGTTGAGCGGGAAAATCGACTTCGTTTCGTTTTCATCCCGTGGTTGTCGGCATACGATAACCAACCAATATTGAGGTAAGTACAACGTTTACAAGGGATTGAAAGCTGTTTTAGAAAAGTAAAAGTGCTAAGGTGAATCAATAAAGTGTAATGAAATAGGTAAGTGCAAGTATCACTAATAAATGCATTAATAAAGGAAACTCCCTAGGCTGACAACGTTCATTTGCAATGTATAATGCTACACGTATATCTCGTACTATCATGATGTCCACTTTTGGTTTTAATACATTTTTTCCTTATGTCGGTTTTTTTTATTTTATGCCTTTTTGTGCATTTGGTGCACAACCGTACCCTTCAGAGAATAGGAATAGAATAAGTCGAATCAAATTCATAAAAAGCTATAAAATGTTAGGTTTAATGGGATATAATGAGGATCAAGTAAAGACGTTATTGGAAAATGAATGAGATAAGACATTGTGAAGTGGTATTTAAAGATCCGACAATGGACAGCAAGTTAGTTTATAAGATGCCCCATAAATCTGTGCAGATCCCACGTGGTCGCATCTCAACAATAGGCTGAGCGAATGGTATATATTTAAAGGTAGAAGCATGATCTGTCAAGGCGTTCATTATTATCTTTTTCAAGATAAAGATCTAAGCCCTCATAAAAATCAGAAATATCTCGAGCCTTTAATTTGTATATTGCTGTTCCTGCAGAATGGGGCGATTCACCTTAGTGACCCCCACCATATCTACTGATCAGCTAACGCCACCCTCCCTCCTTTTTTGATGTTAAGCTCTGAGACTATGATTATTATGGCTACCGCAAATATATTGCTTGGTACCAGACATGTTCGTACCTCATATTCCATCTCCCTAGCTTTCTTAATGAGTGCTTCCAATAGGTCTCCGCGTACATCTTTATGAACATTATATATGTATGCATGCGTCCTAATGAACAGATTACTTTACAAGAAGTTAAAACCTTAAAGAATAAAAAGAATAGGTTTTGTGAATAGTGAAGCAAGATTCAGCAGAACAATATAGTTAGGGATCAATGTAGGTAGTATGAACTGAAGGTAAGGTCGGTTGGCAGGACTTAGTGTACTAAATTATCATGACAGTCTTATATATAGTCAACATTTGACATTGCAAAGTAACCTGTCTACATATATTATAAAAAGATATTAACAGAACCAACAAAATTTCAGCATTTGGTTAACAATACTACAGAAGGGTAGTTAGTACTACAGGTAGTCGTAAAGTAAATCAATCTATGTATAATAAGAGCATAGTCAGTGTCATAATTCGTATTATCAAAGAATACATTAGGCTCAATAACTGAGTGTTATAAGGGAAATAAGAGCGGTAAACCAAGAGAACATTTGCCGCATAAGTATTTTAATCATTTTAAGTATTTTAATGACAATCTAATTTCAAGTATTGAACCTACATAATTACTAAGTATTATTATGTTAGTCTGGGAACTAGTGTACTTTCTGTAGTTAAATATTGAAATGCCATTGTCTCTCCACTCTACCAGCAGTTGAGATCTTTGAGGCGGGCTAGGGTGGACATGTTTATATGTTTTTCTAGGCTCCTTTTGAAACTGTCAGGCCTTTCACAGGATCTTATCTCAGAGGGTAGTTGGTTCCAAAGTTTGCAATATTTAATGGTGAAGAAGTTAGCTCTAGTGGTGAGTTTATGGGTGTTAACCTTGAGAAGGTAGTTGTGGTTGCGTAGTCCATACGATTTAGGATTAGCCCAGGTTATGGACGAGTTACTGTTACAGTGCTTTCTTATAACTTTGAATAAGAGAAATAAATTGCACTTCACTCTCCTTAACCATAAGGGCTCTAAGTCCAGTCGAATACATCTGTCAAGGTATTCTATTTGCTGACCATAGCCTAATATGCGTTTCGTAAGGAATCTTTGGACACTTTCAACTTTTTTTCTGTCTGCTGATTTAAAGCTACTGTATAAGTGGGCACAGTATTCAAGTTTGGGGCGAATGCATATCTTATATATGGCTAATCTGGCTTCTGGAGTGTAAAAGTTGCGTAGCACAAAGCCGGTTAGACGTTTACAATCAGATACCACCTTATTTGCATGTTCAGTAAAGGTAAGATCTGAGTATGTTATCCCGAGATCTGTGACTGTGTTTGTGTTTGAGACAAGGTCACCGTACATGTATAGACACATGCTAGGTTTCCAACGTCCGAAGTATGTTATCCCAGATTTAGCTGGATTGAACGTTAACTGCCACTTTTCACTCCAATTACATAGACTATTTAGGTCTTCTTGGATTTTACTAACAATATTCATATCATTATAGTCAAAATCATAGACAACTTTGAGGTCATCTGCAAAGAGGTATGGCTTGCCATACTTGATCATAGAGACAATATCATTTATGAATACAATGAATAGGGTAGGGCCAAGAACACTACCTTGTATCACGCCGCTGGTTATCGGTTTGGATGTTGATAAGTGATGGTTGACTTTAACTAACTGTTCTCTTCCTGTAAGAAAGGAAGTTATCCACTCAAGAAGCCTTCCACTTATTCCATAAGATAGGAGTTTCAGTATGAGTCTGTTATGTGGGACTTTATCAAAAGCTTTCCTAACATCTAGGATGCATCTCCGCTTCCTTCTGCATATTAGTGGGGTAGTGTGTTGTTACCTGGCTTCCAGCCAGGATTCCTTGGGTCTTGTCTACTCTGGATAGCCATCTAGTCTTCGGTATCTTATGTAAGCCGCTCTTGAAATAAGTTTTTATCCAGTTGGGGGAAGCTTTCTCGAAAACATCATTCTCCCGTTCTAGTGCTCTTCCACCGCTAGTGTGTTTCCCTCTCTGGACAAGAA